CGATGTAGCAATGAATATTTAAAACTTTTCCGTTATTCCGTTGTATATGTTACCTGTAAAATGGTGCAAATGTAGTTGTTTTTTTTTTTGCGCAAATGAAATATAACCTTGTGGCGCAAATGAAAGATTGGATTTTGTAACAATTGGCACAAATTTCTTTGATCAAATGACATAAAAGTTAACAACTATGGATCACTGTACGGCCTTACACAAAGAGCAAAACCCATACCAAAAAGTCAGCTATAAAAGGCCCCGAAATGAAAATATCAAACAAGAAAAATAACAGCCTGATATATGTACAAAACAATGAAAGAAAAACAAATATGATATGCAGCAACAAATGACAACCACTGAATAACAGGCTTCTCACTCCCAATCTAAAAAAGCAAGTTATAAAACAAATTTACTAAAGGTTTGGAATAAAGACTAAAAAAAGGGCAAACGTCAGATTAAACCATATCTTATTTCTCTGTGTTTTATCACCATTGGCATTAGCTCTGATCATCTTTATGGTGTGTATGTCCATCTTTCTGTACTTGTCTATGTTACAGAGAAGGTTATGATAATGTAATCAGTGTATATTTCCATCTTTCCATACTTGTCTATGTTACAGAGAAGTTCCTGATAATCTAAGCAGTGTATATGTCTATCTGTCTATACTTGTCTATGTTACAGAGAAGTTCCTGATAATCTAAGCAGTGTATATGTCTATCTGTCTGTACTTTTCTTTGTTACAGAGAAGGTTATGATAATCTAACCAGTGTATATGTCATCTTTCTGTACTTGTCTATGTTACAGAGAAGTTCCTGATAATTTAAGCAGTGTAAATGTCTATCTGTCTGTACTTGCCTTTGTTACAGAGAAGGTTATATATGATAATCTAAGCAGTGTATATATCCATCTTTCTGTACTTGTCTATGTTACAGAGAAGGTCCAGATAATTTAAGCAGTGTATATATGTCCATCTCTCTGTACTTGTCTATGTTACAGAGAAAGTCCTGATAATTTAAGCAGTGTATATATCCATCTGTCTGTACTGGTTTATGTTACAGAGAAGGTCAAGATAATCTAATCAGTGTATATGTCCATCTGTCTGTACTTGTTTATGTTACAAGAGAAGGTTATGATCATCTAAGCAGTGTATATGTCCATCTTTCTGTACTTGTCTATGTTACAGGAGAAGTTTATGATAATCTAAGCAGTGTATATGTCCATCTTTCTGTACTTGTCTATGTTACAGAGAAGGTTATGATAATCTAAGCAGTGTATATGTCCATCTTTCTGTACTTGTCTATGTTACAGAGAAGGTCCAGATAATTTAAGCAGTGTATATGTTCATCTTTTTGTACTTGTCTATATATATGTTACAGAGAAGGTCCTGATAATCTAAGCAGTGTATAATGTCCATCTTTCTGTACTTGTCTATATATGTTACCGAGAAGGTCCTGATAATCTAAGCAGTGTATATGTCCATCTTTCTGTACTTGTTATTATGTTGTCTGACATTTGGTTGTTAACCAAAATCATGTCTTTACTATGACATATTGATTTGCATGGTCAGGACTCAGATGTCAGAGTTGATATTAAACAGAGGTTAACATTAAAAGACAAAAACGTAAAATATTGGTAAAAATCGTCATTAAAGAGCAATTTTAAGTACTCCGACATGTTGGCTGTTACAGTGCAAAAAGGCACATGGATCAATAACCAGTCCCTCTAAGCACATGGAAACTGAGCGTTCTAACTATAGTGCTGCAGACCTGTGAAACAGAGGGCTTCAAGAATCATTCTGCTCTTTATTGAAGTAAAAGAAAAGAGATAGGCAATTTGCAAGATACACTTATTTCAAATTCATATAGTTTAGATTTCAATAACTTATGGTTAACCATAATCTTTCTATATTTTTGGTAGACTGAAATTATATACAGAATTTTTCAATTTCTGTCAGAAATGAAAACAAGTGTAAGATATATCTGAAGCATGTTTTATTCACATACCAGTACTACATGTACTAACAATTTTAATAGAAACGCAACTAAAATAACCTGAGACATATCTGTGAAATCAATATTTGACTAGAATATAAAGCTACTGCCATGCAGTGCATTCACTAACAATGCCGCGCAACAAGTTGGAGGAGCTTATACTAAGCATTTATCTTATTTTTCTTTAAATCTATTGAGAGCGGGTTAATTCTAGAGTGTTTAGAAGTATCCATATTAAAATGTTACAAGACTGAAGGTTGATAATTTTGTTTTTGACCAACGGTTTCTTGAATGAACCCTGCTCTTCAATTATTGTGATACACAGGGCAATGTTAGTCATGCCTTCCAAACATTTGACGTTGATGTCAAACCAATGTTTTGAATCTCATATCATGCCGGCGATCAAGTAAAACGCTCCAATGATACTAAACGGGCTTAACCTTATACAGGAAAGATTTTCGGTCGGAATGAAAAATCATTTCAAAAAAAAATTTGCCAGTAAATACAAATAAAAGATTTTCTGTTGGAAAGAATTTATTGAATCGGTTGCTGGTCAGTAAAGGGCAAACAAGCAATATTTTCATTTAGGCCTAATATCTGAAAAACTATAGGAGATAGATAAAATTGAGAATGGAAATGGGGAATGTGTCAAAGAGACAACAACCCGACCATAGAACAGACAACAGCAGAAGGTCACCAACAGGTCTTCAATGCAGCGAGAAATTCCCGCACCCGGAGGCGTCCTTCAGCTGGCCCCTAAACAAATATATATACTAGTTCAGTGATAATGAACGCCATACTAAACTCCAAATTGTACACAAGAAACTAAAATTAAAAATAATACAAGACTGACAAAGGCTAGAGGCTCCTGACTTGGGACAGGCGCAAAAATGCGGCGGGGTTAAACATGTTTAAGAGATCTCAACCCTCCCCCTATACCTCTAGCCAATGTAGAAAAGTAAACGCATAACAATACGCACATTAAAATTCAGTTCAAGAGAAGTCCGAGTCTGATGTCAGAAGATGTAACCAAAGAAAATAAACAAAATGACAATAATACATAAATAACAACAGACTACTAGCAGTTAACTGACATGCCAGCTCCAGACTTCAATTAAACTGATTGAAAGATTATGTCTTCATCATATGAATATCAGGCACAATCCTTCCCGTTAGGGGTTTAGTATCATACCATCATAACATATATGAGAAGAACATAATTAACCCGTGTCATGCCAATAACTGGTTTTTAAATAAATGTGTTTAGTGCCGATGCAAAGACCCTATAAGTGAATCAATATTAACGCCAAAATATGCAATCTTTAATGACCTGACAACAGTATCGTAACTATATCCCTTCTTAATAAGTCTATTTAAAGGTTTTGTTAGCTTCAGAGGTGAATACTGACATTTTTGTGCTTTATAAAGAATATTTCCATAAAAAATTGGATGTGAAATACCTGAACGTATAAGAAGTCTGCATGTTGAGCTATATTTACGAATGATGTCCTTATACCGGTGATAAAATTTAGTAAATGTTTTGACTAGTTTGTGATATCGAAAACCCTGGTGTAATAATTTTTCAGATAGATACTTTGCACTTTGAATAGCAAAAATGATCAGTAAAACAAAATCTACAAATAAATAAAATTTTGCCGAAATTGTTGGTTAACACTGTATAGAAGTGATTGCCTTAATTGATATTTTTTTATCGTTTTTTTTGTGTTTTGGGCAAAAACTAAAGAAAATAGAGAGAAACTGTCAACAGGAAAATTATCAGCAATAATACAAGATCAACAAAAAAAAATATTTTTGTCATGAATTCTAATCTGGTCCACAATGTTGGAGAAAGTCCATTGTTGAAGATTCTCATAGACCTAGGTGAGCGACGCATATGCTCTTTAGAGGCTCTAGTTGTTTGTATCCATATTAGTATGTGACCTAAATATGAACCTTTAATTTAAAGAGGAAATCAACTTCATGAGTTTCAGGTGTTTTGGAATGGACGGTTGTTGGAAAGGCAACAGAGTATGGACAAAGTGTAACATTATTTTGCAATGTTTCAAACTGCTGTCCCAAAAATGCTGGATGGGATAGGTTGACTCCTGTACAACAAACACTGTTTATAGACGTCAAAACAGGACAACCTAATAAAAAGTATGATGGGAAGGTTTTAAAGGATGGATACACCTTAATTATTCAAAATCTGACTAAACAAGACCTGAATGTTTCGTATTCCTGTGTGTATGATGCAACTATAGGGGAAAGAAAGTTTCTACTTGAAGAGGATGTTTTCACCTGTAAGTACACACACTCCAAAGATATGGTTCTGACGAATATAATAACAAATATAATGTGGTATGAGTAAAAAAAATAGGGTAATCATCAATGAAACAACACACTACAGACATCAATTATTTTCAAAATTTTGTCTAGACTATGATAAAAGTTCGGGAATGCCACTATTAAGACTTGCTTTATCCAGCTTCAATATCATCTGAGGTGTCAACAATTTTTATACGACCGCGGTCGTATATTGGTTTGACGTCGGCGTCGTCGTCCGAAGACACATTGTTTAAGTGAATGGATCTCTATGAAATTTTACCATAAGGTTCAATACCATAAAAGGAAGGTTCGGATTGATTTTGGGGGTTATGGTACCAACAGTTAAGGAATTAGGGGCCACAAATAAGCATTTTTGTAACTTCCAGACAATAACTTGTATGTTAGTGTATGGATCTCTCTGACATTGTACCACAAGGTTCCATATCACAAAGGGAATGCTGGGATTGATTTTGGGGGTAATTGCCTCAAAATTTTAGGAATTAGGGGCCAAAAAAGGGGCAAAAACCAAGCATTTTTCTAGTTTCATGACAATGACTTGTGTGTAAGTGTATGGATCTTTCTGAAATTGTACTACAAGGTTCCATATCACAAAGGGAAAACTGGAATTTATTTTAGGGGTAATTGCCCAAAACGTTTAGGAATAAGAGGTAAAAAAAAAGCATTTTTCTAATTTCCAGACAATAACTTGTATTCAAGTGTATGAATCTCTCTGAAATTGTACTGCAAGGTACCATACCACAAAGGGAAGGCTGGGATTGATTTTGGGGGTAATTGCCTCAAAATTTAGGAATTGGGGGCCAAAAAGGGGCAAAAAACAAGCATTTTTCTAATTTCAGGACAATAACTTGTGTGTAAGTGTATGGATCTTTATGAAATTGTACTACAAGGTTCCATATCACAAAGGGAAAGCTGGGTTTGAGTTTGGGTGTAATTGCCTTAAACGTTTAGGAATTTGGGGCCAGTTTCCAGACAATAACTTGTGTTCAAGTGTATGGATCTTTCCGAAATTGTACTGCAAGGTACCATACCACAAAGGGAAGGCTGGGGGTTCTTTGATATGCTGAATCTAACCGTGTATGTATTTAGATTTTGGATATTGGACCATAATAGGTAAATTAAAATTTTTTAAGTTCTTAGACCACATTCATTCTGTGTCAGAAACCTATGCTGTGTCAAATATTTAATCACAATCCAATTTCAGAGCTGTATCAAGCTTGAATGTTGTGTCCATACTTTCCCCAACTGTTCAGGGTTCGACCTCTGCGGTCGTATCAAGCTGCGCCCAGCGGAGCATTTTATTGAAGGTTGTGATACATATAAAATCTAGAAAATGTGATATGATTTAGAATGAGACAACTGCCCACCAAGACCAATTGAAATAGTTGGGTTTACGTTAAAGAGAACGCAACCCATGACATCTATAAAACAAGACATATTGGTATGTCAGTGAGAGTGCAACCAAATGATCCTCAGCTCCCTAAAAAATCCTCCCCTCCCCCAATAAAAAAGAGGAAAAAAAACTATACACATGGAGGTAAATAAAAGGAAATGTGAAATAATATTCCAAAGAGAGAGAGCAACCCAATGGATCCCCCCCTAAAAAATAAATTGGTAAGGGTTCCGCGGAACCCAGTGTCTCGCCTACTTTTGCTGTTAGTCGCAGGCTCAACAAAAAAGGGGAAATAATTATTAAAAATTTTCCTTTAGATACTATCTTTTGAATGAAAGAAGCTTCTGTTCAAGTTTGGTAAGAATCCAGGATGGTTTATGAATTTAATAAATGTTTTAAAAACTTTAACTGCAGACTGTATGTAATGTTAACTGGAAGAAAAACTAAGTCCATTTATAAGTAATATACGGAAAAACAGGAAATATTTGTTTACAAAATTTCTTTCTAGATACTAGCTTTTGATCATAAACAAGCTTCTGTCCAAGTTTGGTACAAATCCAGGATAGTTTAAGAAAGTTATTAAAATTTTGAAAAACTTTAACCACAGAGTGAATGTAATGTTAACTGGCAGAAAAACTAAATCCATTTATGAGTAAAATACGGATAAACAGGATTTTTTTACAAAATTTACTTCTGGATACTATCTTATGATCATAAACAAGCTTCTGTCCAAGTTTGGTAGAAATCCAGGATAGTTTTAGAAAGTTATAAAAATTTGAAGAACTTTAACCACAGAGTGAATATTTGTGGACGCCGCAGCCGACAACGGAATGTAGGATCGCTATGTCTCACTTTTGCGACAAAAGTTGCAGGCTCGACAAAAATTAAAAAAAAGATATGTCAATGAGACAGCAACCTAATGACTTCCCCACCCCCCACCCCCCATGAGAAAGGGCATAGGGCAATGGTGAGAGCCCCCTGATCTTTCAATCTGCCTAATATTAAACAGACAGTTAATTAATAGGTAGATACAAACTTGACTATAAGGAATTTGGGTACACTTCCTGTCTTATATGTTTACGGAGGGCCCAAAGTGCCAGTTAGATATTCAAAATATATAGCCAAAACCTACCTTAGACCGCTTAAATGGGGGTGAGACCCCCCATGTTCTTTCAATGTCTTTGAAATTTGACGAATTCATAGACTCTGTATAAATAAAGATTGTATCAAAAGGATTTCCCAGAAAAATGTCATCTTCGATATCTACGGAGGGCTTAGATTGTCACTTTTCAGCTAAAAATTGTCAAAATTTAAGGACAAAGGGCACAGGGCAATGGTGAGAGCCCCCTAATCTCTCAATCTGCTTAATTTTAAACAGTAGATATCGGAGATGACATTATTCTGGGAAATCCTTTTGATACAATCTTTATTTATACAGAGTCTATGAATTCGTCGAATTTTATAGACATTAAAAGAACAGGGGGGTCTCACCCTCATTTAAGCGGTCTCAGGTAGGTTTTCACTATATATTTTGAATATCCAACTGGCACTTTGGGCGCTCCGTAAACATGGAAGACAAGAAGTGTACCCAAATTCCTTTTAGTCATGTGTGTATCTACCTATTAACTAAATGTCTACATAATATTAGAAAGATTGAGAGATCAGGGGCTCTCACCGTTGCCCTGTGCCCTTTGTCCTAAAATTTTGACAATTTTTAGATGAAAAGTGACAATCTAAGCCCTCCGTAGATATCGAAGATGACATTATTCTGGGAAATCCTTCTAATACAACCTTTACATATATAGAGTCTATGATCAAGTTGAATTTTATGGACATTGAAAGACCAGTGGGGTCTCACCCTCATTTAAGCGGTCTCAGGTAGGTTTTCACTATATATTTCTTTTTTTGGGCTTTCCATAAATATTTCTATTTATATTTCTAAATGTTTCTAGAGTTATAGGTTTTTCTTTTTGTTTTAAGAAATATCATATATAAAAGTACATATTTGAAGTTGTTTTATTGATAAAAATCTATATTACATAAAGACAAATATGCAACTTAGAAAAGGGTTTATATTCGAGGACAACGAGAATTTACGACAGCTTGAAGAGGTCATTAAACGATTTCCTACGTATCTTATCAGTCCTCTTAACTATGAAAATTCGTGCTTTTAATGTTATCAAGTATTTAATTTTTTTATGATTTTCAACTAAATTTTGAATATCCAACCGACTGCTAGCAGCCGGTTGGATATTGAATATCGAATTTCGAATAACGAACCGGCTGCTAACTTCACATACATAAACCAAAGGAGATTTGGATATGTCATTGAGACCCAAGAAACCCAATGACCTTAAAAAAAAATTGAGGTTAATAAAAGGAGATGTGGGGTATTGGTTAATTGATAACAACAACCCAATGAACACCCAAAAAAACCAAACCACATTGAAGTATATCATCTATATAAAAGATATGGGGTAGATGTCAATGAGGCAGCAGCCGTAAGTGACACAAAAACTAGAAGAACTCTTAGATGTCACCATACAGTTGTCAACAACATACAGGTGTCAGTCTTTACATCTCCTATAGTGTATCAAACATTGTGAATACATTTAATATTATTACAAAATAAAAATAAAGTTATTGGTTGGTTCTCAGACTAGGGACAGGCACATGGACATGGAGCAATGTTAAAATATTTGTTGTTCTTGATCTGTAGAATAATAAGATTCACAAAAAACATAAAAAAAAATCAAAACAGGAAATTCACTTATTATAACAATTTGGTGAAAAACACATCAACTGGATAAAAAACATGGCCCCCAGAGGCAATCTTTTATTTTGATTGACCAGATTTAAAAATATTCTACTCTGAAAGTTTACAGAATTTCCTGATGATTGGAATACTCCCTACAAATGATTCTCATTAAATGTTGTTAAAAACAAACATGGTGGCATTGGTTGCATAAAATTCCGATTTTTGAAATTATTTGTAAAATTAGATTTCATTTTCGTCTCTGAAACCATTATACCTTTGTGAAATAGGCTTGACAGTAATGAATGTATAAAAGATCTTCCAAAACATATTATCATTCATGTCATTTGGTTCAAAATGGAAAACAAATATGCCACCAGACTTACATGACATAATAAAATTGAGAATGGTTGATTCTGATTGAAATGACAAAACATTGCAGGGTTAATTATTTGTAGACCCTAAACAGTGATCGTCCTTGAATGTTGATCCAATGGCTCCCAATTGTGGCTCACAGTTCCCATTGCAATGATATGGAAAATCACATTTATTCTTCTTCTTTGATATCACAATTAAGTCCTTCATGTATGTGAAATAATCTAAGCAGCATTGATGTATGAATTTGTTTCTACTAGTGATCTTCATTTGGATCCAATTTACAGAAAAACATGGCTGCCAGTGGCAATATGGAAAATTATATATATATATCAAGTTTGTTTCTTTTTACAGTTAACATGTTATAAGTGTATTTTATTTCAGCCATTACACAAACTGATGTTCCCACTGGTAACAGCAGATTATCTCCAGGAGAAATGTAAGTAAAGAAGTCTACTTGATGGACATGTCTTAGTCTATCTTCTTAATGTAAAATACATGCTATTATCTACACAGACTTGAGTGTGTAGTTAACTGTTGTATCATTGCTCAGTCATACAATCATTATAACCTTACAAGTGGGAGGAGAAAAGTACTATTTGATTGTCAAACGAAGCATTCATAGTAATTGTCTGTTTAATATTTGTATATATATGTTTCATGCAAAGCTTGGTTTAGCATTACGTTTAACTGTGCAAAATAGCTTTCCTTTCTAATCGAATTTCATCGAATATAATTTTTAAAAAAAGAACATACATGCAGTTTTAAGAACTTTTTACGCTGTGGATAGGTTGTATTTAAAGAATCTGTTGATGTATTCCCCACATATTGTTTTAAGCTCATTTGGCTCACAGGACCATATGAGCTATTGCCATCTCTTGGTGTCAAGCGTCCCTGGTCTGTGGTCGTCATCGTCGGTATAAAATTTTTCAAAGATCTTCTCCTCTAAAACTACTGAACCAATTTCAACCAAACTTGAAGCGCATGATCCTTTTGGCATCTAGTATGAGGTTTGTATCTTTATAGTTTCTGCCAACGAACATGGCTGCCATGGCTTTAATTTTTAACTAAGAGTTTGCCCTAAAAAGCCTATTTGTATTAGATTTGTAATTTCTTTTTTCAGAAACTATGATAAATAAACACATGAAACAGAAACTTTGATGGCAAAAATGTTCATCAAACCCTTATAGGAGTTATTACTCTTGAAAGACAGTTGTTTTTTTTTTTATTTTTTAGCGGAAACTATGATAGAGAGAAATTTCAAACAGCAAAAATATTAAGCAAAGTCAGACCTACAATAAATTCAGTGAGACTGAAATCGTAAATTGATCCCTTAAATTGCCCTTGAAAGATGAATTGACTTATTT